GGGATGCAAATCAGTAAAGCTCTTTGGAAAATGACTTGACAGGGTTCTTCCCACCCTCCTCAATGTGTTTTTTCCTCTGTGCTCTACTTGGGTGCTGTAATCACTCACCTGGACTCTTTAGATCTTGGGAAGGTATTTTAGTGTGTGGATAAATACTCAAATTGATGCTTTGTGATGGGACAAGCAAAGAAGTCATATTCTGCCATCTTGCTGACATCACTCTTCAAGATAAGTGATTCTGGGACTGGAGAGATGGCTCAGCAGTTAAGAGCACTGGCTGTTCTTGCAGAAAAACCTGGATTTGGTTCCCAACCATCCATAACCTCAATTCCAGGGGATCTGACACCCTTTTCTGACCTCCAAGGGCATTGCCTGATATGGATGCACTTACATGTATGCAGGCAATACATACACATAAAATAAAAATAATAAAATATTTAAAATGATAATAATAAAATATTTTAAACAAACAAAAATCATGTGAGGGCATTTCTGGCACAAAAGGTGACGAACAGGACTGCAGGTGCAGCATGCTTACCTGTCATGTAAAAGGCCCTAGGTTTCATCCTTGCCCCCAAAGAACAAAAAAAGTGGGTAACAAAATACAGAGTAAGAAAAAGTGAACGGGGCTGGCAAGATGGCTTAGTGGGTAAAGGTGCTTGTTGCCAAGCCCAATGACCTGAGTTTGATCCCTGGGACCTACATGGTAGAAGGAGAGAACCTACTCCCTGAAGTTGTCATCTGACCTCCACACGTGCATTGTGACATGTGCTTCTCCTCAAAAAAAGATAAAAGAAAAAAGGTGAGCTATGTTTGTCATAGAATAGGTGCCTCAAGTCTTAATGCAACAGATGGGCGCCCTAAGGATGTTACTTGAGTTGAAGTCTAAATCTAGGGGCACATGGGGTTATATACTAGGTCACACACACTCTGGGTAATTCCCAAAGCAGAATTTCCCCAAAAGTTCTAAGCAGAGGCAACACAGCAAACCCAGGTTCCTGAGCTGACAGTAGGACTTGTGTTAAAGAGTGTCCTTAAGTATAGCTTTACAGCAACGTCTATGCATCAGAAACCCCCCTAAAGGGGGGCTATTAAAAGAACCCCAGTGCCTGTGGGTTGAGTACAGCTCAATAGTAGTAGATTTGCCTAGCAAAACCCTGGATGTACACACACACACACACACACACACACACAGCACTTCCCAGACCAATCCCTTATCAACCGACTGTCTAGGAGGCCCAGGCAAGGATAGTTTAAAAAAAAAAAAAAACTCTCAGGTAGGACTGGATAGATGGCTCAGCAGTTAAGAGCACTGGTTGTTCTTGCAGAAGACCCTGGTTCAAAACCCAGCACCCACATGGCAGCTAACAACTGTCTGTAACTCCACTGCCAGGGGATCTGATAGCCTCTTCTGTCCTCCGTGGGAATTGCACGGTACGGGTGTACTTACCTACATGCAGGCAATATACTCATACACATAAAATAAATAAATAAAATATTTTAAAAAAAAAAAACCTCTCAGGTAGCTGGTCATGGTGGCACACACCTTTAATCCCAGCACTTGGGAGGCAGAGGCAGGTGAATCTCTGTGAGTTTAAGGCCAGCACTGGTCTACATAGTGAGTTCCAGGCTAGCTGTGGCCACAGAGCGACCCTGTCTCAAAAAGACCAAAATAAATAAATAAATAAAAACCTCTCAGGTACGGCTGGGCTTAGCAGAGGCGGTCAGATCTTTGTGAGTTTGAGACCAGCCTGGTCTAGATAGCAAGTTCCAGACCAGTCAGGTCTACATAAAAAGTCCTAGGCCAGCCAGGGTTACATAGTGAGACTCTTGTCTCAAACAAAACAAACAAATCTCTCAGGTGATCACAATATGCAGTTAAACTGAAACATTGCTTGAGTTTCACTGTAAAATGAATATATAAAAAATCTTTTTAAATAAATTATTTATGTGTATGGATGTTACTCCTGCACGTACAGAAGTGCGTCACAGGCATGAATACCCAGAGAGGTCGGGAGGGCAAAGGGTCCCCTGGAACTAGAGTTATGGATGGCTGTTAGCCACGATACAGGTGCTGGGAATCAAACCCGGGTGTCCTGTAAGATCAGTCAGTGCTCTTAACTGCTGAGTCACCTCTCCAGCTCCTGTATAAAAATATTCCTAGACCCATATCCTTAAATGAACATAGATGCAAAATTTCTCAACAAGACACTTGCAAACCGCATATAGACACGTCAAAAAGATCATCCACCATGATCAAATTGGCTTTATCCCAGAGATGCAGGGATGGTTCAATATATGTAAGTCAATAAATGTCATAAATCATATAAATGGGCTCCTCAAAGGCAAGAGCCACATGTTCATCTCAATAGATGCAGAGAAGGCAGTTGACAAAATTCAACATGCACTTATGTTGAAAGTCCTAGAGGGAACTGGACTGGAAGGAACATACCTCAACATAATTAAAGCCATATATAATAAACCCACATCCAACATCATTCTAAATGGAGAAAAACTGGAAGTATTCCCATTGAAATCAGGAACCAGACAAGGCTGTCCACTATCTCCACTTCTCTTTAACATAGTGCTTGAAACGCTTCAAGAGCAATAAGACAAGAGAAAGAAATTAAAGGAGTAATAACTGGAAAAGAAGAGATCAAATTATCCCTTTTTACAGATATGATATTATATCTAAGAGATACTAAAAATT